ATGGAAAAAAAAACAAATTCAAATTTTGCTATCAATTGCTAGCAAATTTCTGAAATACATAAATATATACGCTTTTTGGCGATGGTACAAGGGCTTGAACTCAGGGCATGGGCACGATCCATTACCTTTATCTACCCAAGGCTGGTGCTCTGTTGCTGAGACTAGCGTCTCAGAGACTTTCTTGCCTGGGCTGGCTTTGAACCATGATCCTCATTTCTCAGACTCCTGACTAGCTAGTATTACAGGCATGAACCACAGTACCTGCCTCATCAGAAATAATTTGCTGAAGAAAAGAATCTCCAAGACCAAATGACAATCACAAGCTTGATTAAGTAGCAATGGTAAGAATACACACTGGCAAAATGAAAGCAGGACTTAGAAGGCATATTAATAATAGGAATGTTAGTACCCTAACTGAAATTACAAAACAGAATAAATAGGAAATGACTGAACAAAGTGATTTAAGGGAAGAAAAGACCAAGTCATCTTATGCCATCTTTGAATGACAGGTATATCACATCCATGTCATTCTATTCTGTGATCCTGGGTGCTTGACTTGAAGAAAGCAAATTCAACCTCTGGTTCATCAGCAGGCAACTTGGTAAAGCTACTATGCCCACATGTCGTTGACCCACGTCTCTTCAATAGAGCAAGTATATATACACCTTTGACCCAGGGCATTAGTCAGGAGCCTTGATCAAATAACAAATCCTCAAAACCACACCACCAACATGGAAGGATGACACAGGCCTGTCATACAAGCACTCAAGAGGCAGAAGGATCACAAGTTTAAGGCAGGGAAGCCTGGACTTCATAAGGAGACTGTCACAGAAATACATTAATTAAAGTAAAAGTAAAGCAATGAGAGACAGGACAAATAAGCATGGTGTACCCATAAGGATGGGTTCAAGTTATTTTTTACATCTTATTGTAAACTTAAAATGTGTTGGCTTACTCCATGTCTCCCCTCTGGCGTTTAGATTTGTGTTTTATACTGAATTGATAAATCGTAAATTCAAGCATTTTACTTTGGTTGCCAAGATGTTTCTATTCCATAACCTCTGAGATAGCTTGCCTGGCAAGCTATCTTGCAGCAAGGTAATTTCCCACAGAACACCTACTGAAATAGAATCTGCATTTTAACAAGATCCCTAAGTAATTCAAATGCATGTTGAAGTTTAGTAAGCACTGCTAAAACAGTCAGGAAGAAAGAGAAGCCCCCACAAACTTAAGAGGACGGGTCAAAACATTAGAGCTATGTTCTGAACACTATCCTGAACAAAAGCTTCAGGTACTACAGCCTTCAAGGATGGGGAGAATGCAGACATTCATTTCCAACAACTCTCAGGGAAGGTTCAAGGAAGCACTGCTGCCCTTGCTGGCTCTGTGAACTGTCACTCTGTAAAACTGCATACAGTTTAAGAAAACACTGAAAGTATCACACAAGGACCCACAACATTACATTTGCAGTCTCCTACTTACAGGAAAATAAGAAAAATCTTCCTTTCAAATAGCACTAGGTTTCAAGAATACAAATTCAAAGGTTGTAAGTAACTGACAAACAGTTATAATTTCCTTAATGAGGATGCAGTGACCTTGGAAAGGATATTCAAGAATAAATTTGAACTGAAGAGCCTAGAAAGTCTCCTGAATGGGCTATGCACTTCCCCCTGACCCCTGACCAGATCAGCTCCAGGTTTGTTATGTTAGTCATAGGCATTTATAATAGAAAACATAGTAACAAAAATTACCCTGCCTATTCTCAGCTTATTCATATTTTAATTCAATTCTTTGGTTTTGCGAAAAATCTGATAATGAAAGCTTAATACCACATCTCAAATTAAGTGGGTTCATAACCTTCTCCTATGCTATATTTTGGAGACAGGCTTCCTATTTTCCATTGTTTATACCATTCTAATATACTATGACACTGTTAAACACATAGTAATAAGTATGCCCACGAAAGATAGATAAGTCATGCTAATAATCGGCCAGTAATACAATTTGATCTTTTTTTCTTGTTTTGTTTTATCTCATTTGATTTTCATGAGACAGGCTCACCCCTACATAGCTGAGGCTTCTCTGGAACTACTTATGTAGCTCAGGTTGGCCTGACCTCTCAGTCTTAACTGTCTCTCTGCTGGGATTACAAACATTTACCATCATGCATGGCTGAATCTAGTCATTTTTAAAAATCATGAACAACAAGAAATATGCTACAACAGGAAAGACTATCTTTCATGTGGTTGTTTATCTAACCCCACATTAAAGCACTTTTAGGATAATATCCATGTAAAACACATTTCAAAGAAATAAACTGGACACCAAGGACAACAGCACACAGAAAGATCGCAAACAAGCCCTACCACAAAACATTAAAGGTGTTGGGAATATTTTACTGAACACAGAGTACCAGGTAGTGAATATAAAAACTTCAAAAATAATTTCAAAAGTTTAAAAATGTTCTCTATCATTTTTTGAAAGAGGAAATATGTTTAAATTCAAAGTCAAAGATTTAGTTTGGAAATCTTAACTTCCCATTCCACAAATGAAGCTTTATACAAATAAGGAAATAAACATAGAGATGATTGAATGTACTCTCTTCCAAATAATCTATCAAATCTCTTTTGCTCCCTATGCATTTATTACAGCCAAGTGCTGGTCAAGGACCATCTACATTAGCACAATTCTGTATACTCCATCATGTGGGTTATTTTAGACATACTGTGTTTGAGAATTGATTCTACAAGGTCACAGAGAAAAGTGCTCACCTTATAGATTTTTGTGTCTCCTGCCCCTAGCAGACTAACAGAACACATATAAGCCTTCCCTAAACACTTGTTGAATTTAATTATTTTACCACTCTCTCAGGCTATATAATATACGTATATAAATTGTAGAATAACAAAAACAACAGCACCAGTAGAAAGCAGTTCTCAAAATTTCCCAATGAAGCTACTTTTGTGTTCAACAATAGGAGCAGCAAGAAAGAGTAATTGTCCCATTCATTACCAAGGGGATAATAATTATTCTTCTGTTTGCAAACTTAATCCACTCCAACTAGTCCTGTGAACTGCCCAATAAAATGCAATGTATTAAGTTTGTTCACAAATCTTACCATGATCTAAGTCCTTCAGGAAGGGTGAATTGCGTTTGTTATCTTTCATTCTCTTCTATATGAAATCCAATTTGTTATTGTAATCAAAGAGACAACATGGTTGTTATTATTATAAGCAATTGCAGCAAAAATAAACTTCACCTAAATTTCAAAGTATCATACCCCCAAAAGCTGGATTGTTCACATCTCAACAGATTACTCTTCAATGATAAATCCTTTAAAATACACTAAAGCTACTAGCACACAGGTTTTGTGTAGCACAGGACCCAAATATAACCCACTGGGTTGAGTGGCTCATGTTCTACTTGTTAAATTATCATAAACTGCTATCCCTCCATTTAAAAACTCAGTTTCTGATTTTAACAAACTCCTTGAAGAGTTTGTTTCAGTTATTCCTGCTTTGCTCAGTGTGAAATCATTTAATCTTATTGCTTTCTTCCTCAGGGAGAGATGATGTTCAAAACAGACATGAGTAGTGAAACTGGGAGCGCCCTGGGCAGGCTTGAGGAAAAGGCACATTTGAAGATGGTGCCTAGAAGTGAGATTGGGGTCAAGAGGGCCAGAATAACATGGGAATGTGACAAAACACTGCAAGGAAACTTCACTTGCTTTCAAACTAGAATTCACTCTAAAACACAGTGCTACTGGACATGGCCCATTCTTACCCAGAACTTTTGCCTTAGATTAATAAAGTACAAATGTGCTTGCTAACACCTGCAAAAAATTTCAGAATATTACTTTATTTCAAAACAGTATTTCATAATTTAGGCAATGTCAGACTTCTCCACGGTTATGTAAAATGTTACAGCTATGTAAGTTCATAAGAGGGAAATAACCATATTAAGTGATTTTAAGAGTTGAAGAGCAAATTTACAATATGAAATTCCAAATCTATCATATATGTATGTGTATGTATATATATATAATATATAAAATTTGTAGATGCTGGGAGCCCCTAGGAAGTGGTTTTACACTACACATTTGCCAACATACACACCCAAATTCCCCAAAGAGAGCATGTGAGAAGCTAAAGACCGAACTGATGGGCAAGGGCAAGTATACTTAAAAAACACTCCTGGGGATTCTGATACTCCATCAACCACCTCCCGCCCCTACTGCCATTATCTGCTACTATGTTCCACCACACACTGCCAGTTGCTTTTTGCTTTCTAGACCAATGCTAGTTAAGCGAAGGCATTCTGATAGAGTATCTGAATTCAATTGGCATTTATCCAGTTTTTAAGAGGTAAAAATAAACCCATGAATGACAAATCAATTTTTTCCTTTCACAAAAATTTCACTATAAAGCTACATAACCCACACTGAACTTGGAGCTATTTACAGTTATAGTTTTTCAAAGTATTTAAGTCAGCTAATATATTTTCATAATCAAATCTTCACTACTAAGTAGCAATGGGAAAAATATGTAGCAACATTCCTCACAATCCATTATACTTAAGAGAGGAGTAATTCAGGTATTTTTAAGCACACAAACAAAAAAAATCATTTCTATGTAACCATAATTCACTCACTCTACCTTATACCTCAGATTTTACAGTGTCTAGATTAAGAAAATTGTCGATAAGGAATTGTAAATAATATGTTGTAATTCAAAAATAACACTCCTGGTTTTCAGTGCTCATGTTACTCAAACTCCAGTCCATTGGAATGTATCTCACAATCCCCAAACTTCAACTTTCATAAGTCACTATTGGCTTATGCCACTGAATAGAACATTATGGAATGTGACTGATACCTCTCCAACTCCAAACTTTAAAAAAAAAAACAGCTGACAACAGGTGTATGGCAATCATCTTGAACTTCTTGGCAGGCCCCAATACTAAAGACAAACATAGGAAACAAACCGAAAAGGCATACTTACCTTAATTGGAGCACAACTAAACTTAATTTTCCTATTTGCTGGGATTTCTTCTTCTTCTGGCAATCCAACGATTTCCGAGTATTCCATATCAGGCTGATAGTAGCTATTCTCGTCACTGTCCTCCTCATCCTGCTCAGTGCCTGTCTCTCCCCAATCTGAATTATACCTGGATCTCACCCTATACACATTATAGTCACTATGCATGTACACATGGGAACTCTCAACATTATTTGAATCTTCAGCTACTTCTTTTGCACAACTGGATACAGAAGCATTGGGAGAGGTGAGATCACCACCTGCAAGCTCTTCTTTCCTCTGTTGCTTTGCTGTCTCACTCCCAACCGAATTAGCCTCGGCATCTCCTGAAGGTTCGTTTTGTGGTGAAAGGATTTCAGACTTCGGCATTGCCTTCTTTTCAGCACAAGGTGGTTCAAGAATGTCTTTGTCAGTTCTGTCCAGAGTCTCTTGGTTAGATGTAGAGTCCTCGGCTTCCTTGCTCTGCTGTATCTCTTCCCTAGGCAACGAAGCTAGAGAGGTACATTTAGGAGCCACTTCTAGTACTGAAGTTGTATTAGTCTTCTGAGCATTATCTGTTTCAACACCTTGTTTGTTCGAAGGAGACCAAGCATTAGAATCCTTACGGTGGCCAAAGGTGTCAAGATTGGTAACAGTAACCGATGGTAAATTCAGGGGATAATGGCCAGTCACTGAGTAGTCACTGCTTTCAGCCTTCTCGGAAATGATGGCACTGGGGGACTCAGTGTTCTCAAATACTGCACTCAGTTGACTCACAGTTGGGGAGACAGCCTCGGTTCGGGAGCTAAGGCTGTCCAAGGAATCAGTACTGCCTCTGTTGGACTTGGAACCCCCCCACTCGTCCTGTGGTTCACTCCCTCCAGCTTTCTCTTTCTTTGGGGAATAGCGGTTGTTTTGTCCTGATTCATGAACACTCCTCTCAAACATTTTTCGAGTCTCTGTGAACTTAGAATATGAAGGGCCATCATACATTGTGTCAAATCGACTAATTCGTTCAGAAACAGAGGACTCCAATTTAACAACTGAGCCATCTGTTTTCTCCAGAAATTCTTTGGGCTTCATTCTTCTCTGAGGAGAGGAAGGTCTACCTTTCCCCCTGGTTTTGGCAATGACTGCAGCATTCTCATTGGGTTCCATACCCATCTGCATAAATAGATTTTTAATTCTGTTGACATTGGAGCCATATTTCCTACCCCTGGTCTGTTGGGAGCCCTCACCTTCTTTTGATTTTTGTTCCCCATCTGACTTAGGTTTGTCAAAGGCACTTTTCAGTGCCTGGAACTCAGTCCTGTATGCATTCCTATGAGGAGAGGCACTTCTGAGATTGGTTCGTTCACCTGAAGACTCAGCTTTCAACATTTTTACTTCAAGGGTGAAAACCCAATGTTCATAATGATCAGGAAAAAGAAAAAAAAACAAAAACAAAAACCTCTCGTCTAATCACCAGTATTTGGTCAAGTAAAGGACCTCTTAAACGGCATACTTTTGTCCGTGATTGTCCCAACAGGTGTATGAGCAAATTATTCAGTCAAGAGTTACACAAAATGGCTTTTTCAAAGCAAGACTAGTGGTTCATCTGTAAGAGAAAAGAATGAAGTTTTGAATTTATGTACTTAGGTGAATTTCTGTTTAATCAACTAGCACTTTTATTTTCAAAGTGATTTAGCCACAGGTCAAGTAGAAGATATTACTTACTGAAATGGAAAGTTAACGTCAAAAGGTAAAAGTTATCATTCTAATTTGTTCTAATAAGGAAAATGTTTCCAAAACAACTTAGGAGATCCCTACCAAAAGAATGCCCTCCTCTCTCTTGCTCACTTGCTCACTCACATAGCACATAAGTACTCTTAAAGCAACACTTTAACCCATGTTTTGATTGCTTTTATAAATGACCTTAAAAGAAACCAGCAGTGCATATCTCTTTTAAGAAATTATCAAAATGCCCAGAAAGTCGGTTGCATTGGAATTTTCCATAATCAGGTAGAAGTTATTCGGTCAAAGTGAAAGTTTGGAATCCTTTTTCAAACTCCAAAACATTCCTACAGAGGCTTAATCCTGGTCCAATATTCTCATCTACAGCATCCCAAAAACAACACAAGTGCAATCTCAGAGCAAAACAAGCATTAAAAAGTTCTTGGAAACCAGCATGTTTCACTCTAAATGGTGGTATCCAATACGTTGGAAGTTCCCTAAGAGTGGCTATTATGAATTATGTAGTGGGATGTAGACCATCATGGGACTGAATGAACATGTGATCACCAGAGAGCAAATATTCCATAGTACCTCTTTTCACAGGCCTGATTTGTTTATCCCTCCCTACCCCAGATTTACTACAGGCTGAAAAGGCAAAGCAATGCATGCTTGCTGGCCTCCAGCTCACAGCTGGATTTTAGAATCAATAAGCCAGCAGTCAAATACTTCAAGATCTACAGAAAAGCAAACAATGCAGCTCAAAAGATTTTTTTTTTCATTTCTGTTTTGTTTTTATTTTAGTATCAGGCCAGATCACATTACCCCCAGAGACAATCATCTGAGGAAGCATACACTTTCACTTAAATCATGGTCTCCAAACTCGTTTTCCTGGCCCAGCATGCATGCACGGCCCATGCAGACAAACAAGAAAGGTTTCGGAGTGTAGTGCCTTTTTTCTTTCTTTTTTTTTCTTTTTTTTTTTTTCTTCCTTTTTTTTTTTTTTTTTTTTGGTAAAGCATCGACATCTCCTTTTACCCTGCTATTAAAAAAAAAAAAAAAAAACCAAAAACCAAAAAACCATCAACACCCTCCCCTGTCCCCTGGTCGCACACCCCATTCCCTCCTCCTCCCCCCACCCCCGCCCATTCGAGCCCGAGGGGGCGGAGGCGGGGGCGACGGGGCCGCCGGGGATTTAAAACCTGCCCTCACAAAAGACAAACATAAATAACACCAACTTGAGAGGCAGCGGGTTCCCAAGCCTGCTTCGGGACGCAATCCCTCGGCCCCGGGGCCGGGCCGGGAGAGCAGGTGACGCCAAGCGCTACGGTTGGAGGTCGCAGTCTAGCTTTGTGCCAGGAAGCACCTGAGTAGTCCTAGCACATTGGCTGCGGCTGCCGGTGGCGAATTCCAGGGTAGCACGGGAGAGAGATGAGCTCCCTGGCCACATCAGGAGGGGGAGGGAAAAAAGAGAAAATTATAGGGCGATGAGAATAAATCCCTTTGTTTTTCCTCCCAATGTGCCAGGAAACAATAGATCCCACTGATAATGCCTCCGATCCTCAACCTATGGCTCCCCAACCGCGAGCCACCCCACCCCCAGCCTGCAACTCAGCCTTTTGTACATGCCGATGATATTTCCCCGGCTCCCTTCCGCCCTCCCCGGCTCCGAGCCCCGCGCACAGCCTCCCCCTTACCGAGCGCGAGCGCCGCGGGCGGGCTGGCGGGCGGGCGGGGAGGGTCGGCCTCCGCGCGCCCCCCAGCTCCGCGCAGCGCCCCCCACCCTCGGTGGCGGCCGCGCCGGCCCGCTGGGTCCCCGCCACCCGCGTCCTCCCGGCGCCGCGCGCAGGGCGGCTCCGACGGCCGCTTCCACGCGCGCCTCGCCCCCCCCCACGCGCGACCAGCCCGCGCCGGGCCTCCCCGGGAGGCGCGTGGAGCTGCCCCACGCCGCTGCGGGCCGGCGGCTGGCGGCCTAGGCATCCGCGCGCGTTCGCGCCCTGAGCCGCCCTGACGCGGGGAGGGGTGAGGCCCACGTGCGGCCCCCCACGCCAGGCCCTCGGGCAGGCCCGAAGGGAGGCCAGGACAGGCCGAGGGGGCGGGGGTAGGCCTGGGGTAACAGGTGCCTCACCTCGGCTGATGGGATTAACTCTAGGGCCGCAGAGAGAGGGAGCCCAGCCGCAAAATCCCAGGAGAGGGAGAGGGAGAGGGAGCCTCTGGCGGCCAACGGAGGGCGAGAAGCTGCGGCCCGAGGCGAGGCCGCCCCACCCCCTCGGCCGTGGGCGAGGGCCCCCTTGGGCCCAGGGCAAGGCCTATTCAACTGGGCCCCGGCCCCTGGTGGCTCTGGGAAGTGGGTTGGGACTGCCAGCTGCTGGGGCACCCCCACATGGTCTCTAGTTAATTGCATGGCCGCCGCAAGGAGTCCTACTCCTGCCCTGGCCTGGAAGGCCAGACCCAGGCCTTACCCTACCTGGAGAGGCCTTCTGTTGAACCACTGAGCTGGGCCTACTAGGCCCCGTGACCTCAAGGTCCCGAAGCTATTAAAGGAAGGTCTTTTAAGACTTTTTGCCTGCCTTGGGAAGAGTTTTTCACCCAATTTAAACAGCACTGTTCTATAATGGCTCAGTGAGTGCCTCCTTTACAAATTCCTAAAAAAAAAAGTATCATGACTATCAATCGAGAGCTTCAAACCAACCCTTCCGAAAAACTCAGTTTTTCAAGAGGCTGAAAAATGCTTATTTCTGGTCATGGTGTAAATCTCAACATGGTAGCGGGGTGGGGAGGGGAGGGGGGGCTAAGACAGGAAAGTACAGGACAAACAGACCTGTCCCCCACAGAAGATGTAACATATAGACATACAAAAAGAAAACTTGTCTCAATAATGAGGGAAAGAATCAGTAAGCTATGTGATCCATTCAAATGAGACTATGAAGAGAACTGACATATAATGCTTAGGATTAGAGTGACCCCTGTTATTGTCAGATGAGAAACATTTCAAAACCCAAAGTAGTTGCCTAAAATCAAAGATGGTAATGAAACACTTCACACGTTGTTTTTCTTAGGCATACATACAACAAAGCTTAAAAACTTATGTGTAGTAAAAGCATAACAATAGCAAAACAAGCAATTATATTAACATGCTATAGTAAACTTGTGGGTTATTTCTAGAAGTTTTCATGTAATATTTTCAGAGCTGATTGACAGCAAGGAAGTGTTACTGAAACTAGGGAAATCAAGAAACAGATAAATGGGGTGGGCTGAAGTGTTTTACATGGTGGTAACAAATAGTACTAGAACATCCATTTCTATAGATTAGAACTATTTGCATTACTGAACTTTCTACCATTGATTAAGTAGTGAAGTAGCCCTGTGAAAGTTCTTCTGGTAGACTGACTACAATCCTCAAACTGCAGAGACCAGGAAATATCCCCTAGTTGAAAGCACCCATAGTCACCTTTTATCCATTTCAGAATCACACACATTTTCCAACAGAACATCATTACTCACATTTTACAGATTGGAAAACTGCAAGGATCTGTAACTTATTCCAAGCTGTATTAGAAAAGTATCATAGCTGGGTCTGAGCCCAGGAACATAGATACACAGAATCTATATACTTTGTGCACGAAGTACATAGCTTGCCTTGAATTCGTGATCTCCATTTCACAAAGAATTTGTAGCTACTCAGTTCTCTGCATCTTATTTTGAACCATGAGACTATTTCTTTCCTTCAAACATCACCATATTCTCAGCCTCCCTCAGCATTCTCTGTCTACAAAGTGGTATCACTTCTATCCCCACAAACAGATATAACAAGCAGTGTGAGGGGGCTGTGATTCCAGTCTCCACTTTTGGAAAGAACATTTGTGCTGTCTGGGACAATCGAGTGGAAAAGTTCCTGTCATTTATTTGCAATATGAAAACTAGGCTTCATAGGAGACTAACCTAAATAAATGCAAAAATTCTAATCACTGAGCTCTGTCTCTAAAAGAAGACGCAGCATTGGCAATAAAATCAGTCTTACACCTCTTCTCAAGAAGGATGAATCATACAGAAAAGCAGCCTAAAGAATTCAGTTCGAATGCGGTTTATGTTTTGAAAATGTGAAAGTTCTGGAACAATACATACTGAAGGAATGACTGATTTTTTTTAATAACACAGTGCTGATGAAATCAGGATTCTTGGGTTGCCCACAGTGGGCTTCTTTAACTTGTAACACCATTGTGAATGTTTGATGTGTGTGCTAACTCAGTCCCTATGGCTAATTAATGCAGTTACTTGCTAAGCCACACTTGTCCCTACAGTTGGCTAGTGTCTACCATATTGCACAGTGTACGCATAGCTATCTCCATCAAATAGTGTTGTTCTAGATGAGACATGTACATCAATAAAATAGGAGAGGTATATTTGTTGTATAAGGTTTAACTTAGTTCAAGAGACCACTAAAGTATAAGGAATTAGAGATCTTCAATTTCACTTGTAGCAACTAGAAAGGGGGAAGCTGTGTGAAAACCCCTGGATATGGAAAGTAAGACTCAGTATTGATGTTCCAAGTATGTGTTTGGAATGGAAGCTTGTAATTTTCATATGTGACTTTTCAGTCTTTAAAAATCATGTAAAAGAGTGGAGTGCCCATGGGTTAAGGTTCAAAGACAGTCAGAATAGGAAAGTTCAAGAGACTTTTTGTTGTTGACCTCATCAATGTACTGTATCAAGTGCTTTCTTTTAATTTCATTTTTTTTCTTTTTTCCTTTGGTTTATCCTCGGCAGTCGCTGTTTTTTGTTTTTGTTTTTTTTTTATTCTGGTACCCTGTGTCTTGTATATACACATATCTGATTTGGGGAAGCAAAGGGGAATAACAACAATAAAGGGTGAATCAATGCAACAGTGATACAAGACACTATGCTGGAAATGAACTTTACAACTTCAGGATCGGGGGAAGCGAGGGGTAGGGGGAAGAGAGAAAGGGGAAGAAAAATGAAGGAGTGGGTAACAATGTTCAACAAAAAATGTACTCATTACCTTACTTATGTAACTGTAACCCCTCTGTTACAGCACCTTTACAACAAAATGAAGTAAGATTTTAATGAAGTAAGAATTAATGATTTAAATAAGATTTTAAAAACACACACAAAAGAAAAAGAAGTGGAGCTGTGACTCAATGTTGTAGAGTACTAGCCTTTAACAAAACAGCTCAGGGACAAGGTCAAAAATGAGTTGAATCCCTGGGACTGGCACAATAAATAAATAAAGTCAGATACAGTGACACACTCTTGTGGTTCCAGCACTCACGATGCTGAGACAAGGAGATCAGAAGTTCAAGGCAAGCTTAGGCTGTATAACAAGAGTGTCACCAAAAAAAGAAAAAAAATCATGTAGCATATTGTAGACTACTTCATCCCTTTTGCAACCAATAGCATATAAATTAGTTTGAATAAAATACAAACAGATAAACAATAACAAACCCTAATCCTTCATCATTCTCTCAAAGTATTTTTAAATTTTCATAATGGATAATCTATGTAACTTCAAATAACTAAATTACTCCTAAACGAAAGTGAAACATTGGGTGTTGGTGTGAAATTTAGTCTAGACAGGACCTGATTCAAGATTGGGGAAAGCTAACTAAGCCAGTACTAAAGACTAACCATAACGGCTGGGCGCTGGTGGCTCACGCCTGTAATCCTAACTTCTTAGGAAACTGAGATCTGGGGATCACAGTTCAAAGCCAGCCCAGGCAGGAAAGTCTGTGAAACTCTTCTCTCCAATAAACCACCAGAAAACTGGAAGTGGCACTGTGTCTCAAGTGGTAGAGCATTAGCCCTGAGCTAAAGAGCTGAGGGACAGTGCTCAGACCCAGAGTTCAAAGCCGCACAACCAATAAAAAAAAAAAAAAAGAGTGGGGCTGGGAAGGTGACTCAGTGGTAGAGCACTTGCCTTGCAATGCATGAGGCCCTGGGTTCGATTCCCCAGCACCACATAAGCAAAAGAAAAAAGCCGGAAGTGGCACTGTGGCTCAAGTGGTAGAGCACTAGCCTTGAGCTGAAGAGCTGAGGGACAGCACCCAGGCCCAGAGTTCAGGCCCCATGACCGGACCCAAAAAACAAAAAAGACTAACCATCACACCTTTAGAGAGGACCTAGCTGCTTATATGTTAACAACAGTTCATGAAAGGAGAGAGGAAACAATAGAACAGAATTGAAGGTCTTACACTTACTTCTATATAGATATGGTAAAGTAATGGGAAAGCAATGCCTATAGGTAATTTTATACTTAATTGTATAAAAGTATATTTTATGCTTGCCAGTTTCATTATCAATACTAATAAGAAAAAACACATTGATAGTGAGGATGTAGTTTGATTGCCCAAAAGTGGAATTGTAACTGTTTACTTTGTATTAGTAAATGTCAGAATACTTTGTCTTCAATGTTTTCTTAAAGACTTACCTTTTTAAATGACTACCTC